AGCAGTTAAGATCTGTATTTCTCAATTAAGATCTGTATTCCTAAGGCCTGTCCCAGTTTTAGTTGCAAACTGGTTATTATGACATCATCTTAAAGACATTCTCCAGTCTTACTATCCCACCTGTGAAACCAGTTTTATTATGTAAAATAAATTGTTTTAAATATCCAGATACATCACAATGGCCTTGTGGACATGTGAAAGTGTCCTGTGTGAATTTAAGTATGCTCTCTCTAATTCTCTCGTTCTCTCTTTCTCTCTGAGAACCTGAGCCCTAGGACCATACGTCAGGACTACCGGGCATGATGACACCTTGCTGTCCCCAGTCCGCCTGGCCTTGCTGCTATTCCAGTTTCAACTGTTCTGCCTGCGGTTACGAAACCCCTACCTGTCCCAGACCTGCTGTTTTCAACTCTTAATGATCGGCTATGAAAAGCCAACTGAGAGACCTGAGCCCTAGGACCATACGTCGGGACTACCGGCCGTGGTGACTCCTTGCTGTCCCCAGTCCGCCTGGCCTTGCTGCTATTCCAGTTTCAACTGTTCTGCCTGCGGTTATGGAACCCCTACCTGTCCCAGACCTGCTGTTTTCAACTCTTAATGGTCGGCTATGAAAAGCCAACTGAGATTTATTCCTGATTATTATTTGACCATGCTTGTCACTTATGAACATTTTTGAAAATCTTGGCATGGTTCTGTTATAATCTTCACCCGGCACAGCCAGAAGAGGACTGGCCACCCCTCATAGCCTGGTTCCTCTCTAGGTTTCTTCCTAGGTTTTCGCCTTTCTAGGGAGTTTTTCCTAGCCACCGTGCTTCTACACCTGCATTACTAGCTGTTTGGGGTTTTAGGCTGGGTTTCTGTACAGCACTTCGAGATATTAGCTGATGTAAGAAGGGCTATATAAAATAAAATTGATTGATTGATTGATTGAAAGTCATCATGAGACTGAACAACTGCCCTAAAGACATATTTGTGTTAATCAGCTCAGTGTTCAAGTTCAACAAGATCCTATGACCAACCAAAGTTGATTTAAGTAAAACTGTCTTTAGCGGGTGACAGGCGGTATTACGTGATATTGACAAAGTAAAAAATGTTGTGCATTCCAAAAGATCAGAGACGGTTTTGCATGTTGTTATTATGGTCATTACAGGAGAACCTGAGGCCTACGATTTCTACTGACTGCACAGAGTACAGTACGCTCTTTGCATAAGTCAGTTGAAAAGTTGCCTCAGGGTGTTTGTATAACCTAATCCTAGTGTTGTGTTATAACTACAATCAGCGCTCTACAGGAAATAGGAAGCTGAAGCAGTGCCCATCCACGCAATAACAGATTGCCTCGCCCAATAAACACTGTATCACAAGGATCTCAGATGAAATCACAATTCAAAGTGTTTTCAAATTAGGGCAGGTGTGCCATGACAAGGTGAATGCCTCTGATGATTTGTCCTTAGATGCTCCTGTTTAGAAATCATGCCATAAATTGTCTCTCAATTAGGCAACAGTATACTATTTTGCTTTAGAAGCATTTTAATCCATGGTCATTTATTTAGCCTTTTTACACAAGCAGAGTAAAAGTCTGGAAAGTTTCACTAGGCAAAGAGGAACAAATCAACATGGCATCATCAAGCCAAGGCAGCTGATCTTCTACAGATTGAGTTGCCTTTGACAGCAGTACTGTCAGACCACTGAAAACATTCTTGTAGTTCCAGAAACAAAACTCAAATGGGAAGAGATTCACTCGTGCAAAACAATACACTCATCCTTAACACCAATGCTCTGATACCCTTTCTTAATATGCAAATAATACAAATGTATTCCGCAAACCTGAATCTTTTGTAAAACCCAATTGAGTGTAAAATGGGGTCATTTGAATGTTTACAGTAATTTTGATATTTTTGCATAGTGTATGATATGAGAAAAGTTCAGTGATAGACTAACATGTTCCAGGAAACCAACCAGTATATCCTAACAGTATCTGTTTTCTTTATCAGGCCCATGCAAGAGAGTACAGTTGACTGTACTTTGGTGCTGCAATTGCATTGCAAACGTTGTACCTTTTTAAACACTCACTTCTCCCTAGGGCCAATCACTAGATGTCAACAAGCCTGTGCTGTGAGTAACTGAAACTTTCGGGAGACCACTTCCTCCCTTCCGCAGAACCCCCCTCCCTCCTCCTCCCCTCTCCACCACCGCCAAAATGACTGGAGCTTGTTAAACCATCATTTAGCTGAGAGAGAGACAAGGGGGAGACTCAGAGCTCAAGAGTGTAGCTGAGTGACTACTCTAAGTGGCTGTAGCTCCTGATTGGCTGCCACAGTTTACTGTCATCTCACCCAACACACTACTCTTTCTCTGATGGGAGCTGTCAAGAAAGGAATGTGCAGGGAGAGAGAGAATGGCTATCAGTTTTATCCCTGACCCTGAAAGGCTCTTTGCCCCAGACCTGTCACCTGAGAGGAGAAAGTCTTCACTCATCATTTGTCACCATTCCTATCTCTCAGATTAGTGAAATGAAAGTCAGCAAAGTGCCATAAGCTATTTGTCCAACTTGGGGAATGTGTGTGTGTTTGTGTAACACCACAACTATGAAACTGTGGACAAACCATTTTGCAGAACCATGGCCAGACAGGGAAGTGTGAATAGGAGATGGTAATCTTTACTGTGCTTTTGTAACCACAAATCTTCACACTGGAAATATGGCAAGTTGCTAAATGAATGCAAGACAAAAAGACAGACATACACACTAGTGATGAAATGCTTGAAAGCACTGGTGATTAATCATATCATGCATAGTATTTCTGGATCCTTACACAAACCAATATGGCTTGCAAAGTAAGGCAAAAATGCATCAAGGTTTAACTTTATCTTATAAGTTCACTAAAGAAACACCCCGAACATACTTCACAAGGGAACATCTATTTAACCAGGTCTTCAATACAGTAAAAGTATATTTCAGTCCAGCTAATGTGTCTTGGAAAAGCAGAGAAAAAAAAGCAGAAATGGTGACCATTTGGGTTCCAAATGAGTCTACAAAAAGTTGTGTATAATGCCAAAAGCAAGCAACTTCTGCAATCAGTCAACTAGGGGTGTCCTCAGCATTGTAGATCCCCTGAATGATTTGGTATCACATTGCAGTCAGCATTTCCCCTTATGGCCGTGGAATCGCTGCGTCATGTCCTTCTCATTGGGCTTGTTCGACATTGCAGCCGACTGCCGACTGACTGATCTACAAAGAACCTTGCATCATAAATAACTACTCAATCAGTCACAATTTACCTATGACACATTACGGTTTTGATTCTCTCGAACACGGCCACTGACTGTAATAAAATATCCGAGGACTTCAAAATCTAACTTTACGAAAATACAACTCACCACCCACCATTCGCGCTCTAGTACACTCAAGAATGATTTCTCTCATTCACCCTCCTCAAGATTCCATGATGTTTTGCATACCGCGTTCGAAAAACACTACTCAGCTGAGACGCTGACGGTGCGAGGAAAGCTTTGTGCAAGTCTACTCCTCTCCTCTCCCTGAAGCTTTGACATCACTTTTGCCAGTCAGATTACCATGGAAACATGAGGATTCCCAGCGACAAGACAAGAGGAGAACACTGAATATTTGAGTTTAGAAAAAAAGTATTCAATAAATCCAAATCCGATTATTTCCATTGACTACATATCACTGACATGCAAAAGTATTGCAATCAATGAGGGAAAAGTACAGTTAGACCATGTTGTCAAGACAATTTCCACAGCAACGTTTTTGAAACCCGAGACTGTAAGCATGTATTCAGTAGCCAAGGCTATTGCATTTTATATAGCATTGATTTAAGCCTGTCGCCCCTCCCTCTCGTTTCGTTTGGTAGGCATAACTGGCCACTAAAATATTATTCGTTGAGTCAATTTATTGCATATACACACGGTGTGCATTGAGGGGAAAACTGCACCATAATTGCTCATTATTAATATCCTTTCGTTATTTAACTGTACTGACGTTTTATATACTGTAGAATACCTAGAATGATGCAATCCATTCGAGGGTATCTTTATTAAAAATAAACATCTTAAATTAAACAAATATAAATGGAACTTAAATGTGGTGTATATTGTGACTTTAGATTAATTTCTTACAAGATGGCAAAGGGTTGAAATGTGCATTTTATCAATATTTGATTGTCTCACATAAGCAGTATTTATTCAATATGAAAAATAGCCACCACTAAATATACCTCCTTCTACATGTGAATCTGGCTGTATTCAGAGCACGTTCTGAAAGTGGAGGCGGATTGAGCTCACTGAGCCAAAAAGCCAATCACCAATGTATGCCTAACGCAAATGCCGATTCCTCATAATCACATTACATCATTTAGATGACATTGTTACAAACGATGTCACCCTCAAACATTTATCATAATTAATCAATAATTAGGTATGACTTTGTTATGAGTGATTAGAACGCCTTTCAAACCTCTGTATTCACCATAATTCCCCAAATTACCCTCTCGGTCGAGTATTTTTTATTTTGTGATTTTGAAAGTAAAATTTGTTGCCGCTACAAGATGATTTTTTTTTCATATTTGTTACAATCTGCAAAAAATCCATTGTTTCACTCGTTTTTAAGCCTTGCCCACTTTCTGTGTGAGGACTCTGATTGGCTGGATCTGAGCGCGGACGACGTCATCGCTTGGAATGCCCATTCATCTTTGCACTTGGGCGTTGGACTCCGCATCTTATTAGCAACAAGGGAAATTTCTCCATTTTCCACCCTGTCTACAGAGAAAGCCACAAATCTGGGATTTTTTATTACTTCTCTTCAGTTGGCAGGTTTTTTTCTGACATTTTCCCATTTTGTTCACTGCGACTGGACTTTGATTACTTCTCCAGTAAACTTTTCAAAGAGGAACCTTCGCAAAGAGCTTGCATTTTTTTAAAAAAAAAAAAAGGCTAGTGGTCTTTGTTCGTTTTTTGGATCTGAGTTTCTTTGTTGGTGCGAAAGCATGGGAGCGCAATTCTCCAAGACAGCTGCAAATGGCGAAACCGCGGTTGAAAAGCCTGGAGAGGCTGCGGCTTCACCAACCAAGACCAATGGACAGGTAATTGCTGTTGTTTTTATATCAGTTAAAGGAAATATAGATAAACTGTTGGTTTGCGCAAAGGTTCTCTCGGTGCGTTAATGTGGGCACTTATGGAGACACGCCGGGCTGTTGGAGCAAACAACCACGATGGGAATACATTGATTCATAAGTCTACATGTTCTATAGAATCAATACTATTTAATGAAACATTTTATCATTGATTTGAAATGTAATTTCAAAAAAATATGAAAAGGTAAACTGATTTGGATAATTATTTGAAGACAAATGCTGTAAATTAAACACGTTTTCACTGATTAGTTTGCGATGTGTGGGGATTTCCACACTTAATGGGGTTAAAGCCTTTGTTTGAAATGTCGGATTGTGAGACAGTGGGAATTGGTATCACATTGTAGGGTCCATGTGTAGCCATGTATAGTTAAATGGCAATTGGATAGATCATGTTTTAATCAACATCCTCTTTAAAACTGAGCGCAAATGTAATAACTTGATGCTATCGTTAAGTGAATGGGGAAGATGCACGACGCCAACAATGGCTTGCCACGGTCTACCTAACATCACCACGCCTTTTGTTACAGATGCTCGAGTAGAGAGCAGGGACGGTTACTATGACACTGAAGGCAGGGGAGCCACATTCGAATAATGCGCCCGTCCTGTAGATGTTATGATAAGTGTTGGAATGGGTGGTATTTATGAACGCGATATTGCAACAAAAAAAAAAGATTGTTTGAAGGTTCAGGGTAGTTTTTGGGGTATCCATCTAAACGTTGCTCTGCGTGATCGTCTGTATTAATGAGCATCTGCTGTTTTAATGAGAAGCTGCTTTGCGTTGGTGCTTCGGTATCGGAGAGATTGGCAGAGGCGCATCGCCCCCTAGTGAACCACCTGAAACATTGCCTCCATCTCATTGCTAGAGTCAGCTCATTGTCGCCTATGATTAGGGGGGAAATGTTTCAATCATGAATCTCTAAAAATGAATTGTGTTGAATTCGTAACTCGCAAAGTAATTACCGGCGCCCATGCGTAAAAGCCCAGTGATAAAGTTTTTTTTAATGGAGATGGGGCTATATGCATTTGTCTTGGTTGAATTTGTGGTGTCTACTGCCCCTTGTGTAACTGCGTGGCAATGGTCCATGTCAGGCTTTATATTTCCATGTTTGCTTCTTGTATGATAACGGACTTCCATTTCTCTTTAGGAAAATGGCCATGTGAAAGTGAACGGGGATGCCTCTCCTGCAGCTGCCGATGCAGGCAAAGAGGTGCAGGCCAATGGCAGCGCCACGGCTGAGGAGGCTGCATCCGCTGAGGCTGCACCCGCAGAAGTGGCGGCAGTAGATGGGGCGAAGGCAGAGAATGCAGAGGCTGCATCTCCAGCAGCCGAGGGTGAGACTGCCAAGCCTGAGGGAGCCACGCCTTCAACCAGCAACGAGACCCCCAAAAAGAAGAAGAAGCGCTTCTCATTCAAAAAGTCCTTCAAACTCAGTGGCTTCTCCTTCAAGAAGACCAAAAAGGAGACTGGCGACGGGCCAGAGGGTGAGGAGGCCGCTGCGTCCACCGAGGAGGCCAAGGCTGAGGCAGCCGAGGCCCCAGAGGCGGCCACCGCCGAGGAGGCCGCTAAGCCTGCTGAAGGAGAGGCTGCACCTGCTACCGCTGGGGAGGAGGCTAAGGAAGCAGCAAGCCCCGCAGAGGCCAAGCCTGAGGAAACGGCAGCAGCCGCTGCTGAGGAGGCCAAGGCAGCCCCAGCCACTGAGGAGCCAAAGGCAGAAGAGAAGCCAACTGAGCCTGCTGCTGCGGAGGAAGCACCCATCTCGGAGGAGGTTGCACCTGCAACAGAGGCTGCATCCAGTCCAGAGGCCCCCGCTGCTGCAGAGGCTGCTGCTGAGTAAAGCTGGAAACGCAAAGAGCAAAATGAAGAAAAAAAAAAAAAAAAGATAATCAAAGAACATTTCCCTGTTTGTATGTTGGAGTGGTGCCAGTTCATGGCTTTGGAGAACTTGTTTACAACCAGGGATATTTTAACGCTTTTCTTTTTTTGGTTTTCCCTTCCCCCTCCACAAAACCTATCATCTCGGTCCATTGTTACTACCATTCCAACGGGCAGAGAGGTGGGTGGCTTAGAAATGTAATACTACAGAAAAAATACATCCACGCTCTGCCATATATTTTCTTTCATCAGTATTAAATGTATTTTTTGTTTTTGCATTTTTATACAAAATGTACACTTGTCAATGTATGGATATCCCCATGGTATGAAGGAGGTGGGGTAAAGTTGAGATGTAAATGGAGGGGTTTTGGGGGTGGGCGGGGGATGGAATTGAAGGTGGCACCTTTGTGCTTGGGAATTGTGCCACAGACTGATGTAAAGAGTAATCAAAAAAAAAAAAGTGAATGAAATGACCAACATCTATGTACCACGAGAGTACCATGCGGTTTACAACACTAAGTCATTTTTACTATGAAACAAAACATTAAATTCCCAGAGCTAGGTTTAGGAAGTCATTAAAAAAAATATCATAGGAGCTTTTCACCTCTCTCATTAGCTGTACCAGTCAGTGATTCAGTAGAAATACAAGTTGTATAGGCTTTATTGTTTATTGCTGGTTTTATGACCTTAATAAAGTGTAAGTATGTATAGGCGGGGTGTTTTTAACTGTGATTATTGTACAAATGAAATCTTGATCTCAAGAAGCACATGAAGTTTGCAGCTCTTTTTCCACCCGCTAATTTTTGTAAGATAAAAACAAACAAATTCATCCTAGAAGACCTTTTAAGCAATTTTGAACTCAACCAAGCTGTGATAAGTGGAATGGTTACTGTTTATATACTGTGGTATGTTTTGATTACAGCAGACAATGCTTTTTTGAGTGGTCTTTGACGAATTAAGGAATCTCTATCAGATGCAATGTTTGTGTAGCATCTTGTCTCTTTCTTTCTTTTTGTAAATACTGGAGAAGCTTTTACCAATTTGACTTAGAGATGGAATGTAACTTTGCTTACAAGAATTGCTATTAAACTCCTGCTTAAGGTGTTCTAATTTTCTGTGAGCACACTAAAAGCAAAAATAAATGTGAATAAAATTTGCGCAGCATTTGTGTTTTCATTTAACCAATTTCTGTTCAGTTAACTGTTAGGATGGAGGTGGTAAATTGTTAGATGAGTAATTTCAACAGCTAAGTGAAGACTTGAGTGTCATTTGAGGATAGAAGTGTGTTAACAGTAGTTGTGTATTCAGGCTAACTGCCTTTTCTACATACTCGAGTGTTACAGTATGTTTGTAGAAGTACCTTGCCTTAAGCAACAACACCAAGATAGTTTTGCCTAGGATTTGAACTTATGACCTTACAGCAGGTCACAGCCAGTGTCACTGCCCCTCAGTCATCTACAAAAGTCCAACATGGAGATCTATTTCATCTCACAAATATTATGACTAAAACTAGGTCTAACTTGTTCAAAGCCTTTTAAAATCAAGTATGGACCAGAATACAGTGCCTTTGGAAAGTATTCAGACACCTTGATTTCTTCAACATTTTGTTACGTTACAGCCTTTTCTTAAATTCATTGTTTTCCTCATCTACACACAATACCCCATAATGGGGTATTGTGACTAACTCTTAGGAAACTTTGCGGTACTCCCTGTTCACCCATGACTGCGTGGCCAAGCTCAATCATCAAGTTTGCAGATGACACAACAGGCTTGATTACCAAGAATGACGAGACCGCCTACAGGGAGGAGGTGAGTGCTATGGGAGTGTGGTGCCAGGAAAATAACCTCTCACTCAATGTCAACAAAATTAGATGATCGTGGACTTCAGGAATCAGCAGAGGGTGCACCCCCCTATCCACATAAATGGGACCGCAGTGGAGAAGGTGGAAAGCTTCAAGTTCCTTGGCGTACACATCACTGACAAACTGAAATGGTCCAACCACGCAGACAGTGTGGTGAAGAAGGCGCAACAGAGCATCTTCAACCTCAGGAGACTGAAGACATTTGGCTTGGCACCTAAAATCCTCACAAACTTTTACAGATGCACAATTGAGAGCATCGTGTCAGGCTGTATCACCGCCTAGTACGGCAACTGCACCGCCCGCAACCGCAGGGCTCTCCAGAGGGTGGTGCGGTCTGCCGAACGCATTACCGGGGGCAAACTACCCACCCTCCAAGACACCTACAGCACCCAATGTCACAGGAAGGCCAAAAAGATCATCAAGGACATCAACCACCCGAGCTGATGCCTGTTCATCCCGCTATCATCCAGAAGGAGAGGTCAGTATAGGTGCATCAAAGCTGGGACCGAGAGAATGAAAAACAGCTTCTATCTCAAGGCCATTGGACTGTTAAATAGCCATCACTAGCACATTAGAGGCTGCTGCTGCCTATTGAAATCACTGGCCACTTTAAGAAATGGAACACTAGTCACTTTAATAATGTTTACATATCTTGCACTACTCATCTCATATGTATATACTGCATTCTATTCTATAATATTCTACTGTATCTTAGTCCATGCCGCTCTGTCATTGCTTGTCCATATGTATATATTCTTAAATTCCATTACTTACCAGATTTGTGTGTATTGGGTATATGTTGTGAAACTGTTAGATATTACTTGTTAGATATTACTGCACTGTCGGAGCTAGAAGCACAAGCATTTCGCTACACCCGCAATAACATCTGCTAAACACATGTATGTGACAAATAACATTTGATTTGATTTGAATGACAAAGCGAAACTTTTTTTATTTTTTTTTAGCAAATGTATCAATAAAAACATACCTTATTTACATAAGTATTCAGACCCTTTGCTATGAGACTCGAAATTGAGCTCAGGTGCATCCTGTTTCCATTGATCATCCTTGAAACGTTTCTACAACTTGATTGAAGTCCACCTGTGGTAAATTAAAACTTGATTTGGAAAGGCACACACCTGTCTATATAAAGGTCCCACAGTTGACAGTGCATGTCAGAGCAAAAACCAAGCCATGACGTCGAAGGAATTGTCCGTAGAGATCTGAGACAGGATTGTGTCGAGGCACAGATCTGGGGAAGGCTACCAAAAAATGTCTGCAGCATTGAAGGTCCCCAAGAACACAGTAGCCTCCATCATTCTTCAATGGAAGAAGTTTGGAACCACCAAGACTTTTCCTAGAGCTCGCCATCCGGCCAAACTGAGTAATCGGGGGAGAAGGGCCTTGGTCAGGGAGGTGACCAAGAATCCGATTGTCACTCTGACAGAGCTCCAGAGTTTCTCTGTGGAGATGGGAGAACCTTCCAGAAGGACAACCATCTCTGCAACACTCCACCAAATCAGGCCTTTATGATAGAGTGGCCAGACGGAAGCCACTCCTCAGTAAAAGGCATGTGACAACCCGCTTGGAGTTTGCCAAAAGGCACTTAAAGACTCAGACCATGAGAAACAAGATTCTCTGGTCTGATGAAACCAAGATTGAACTCTTTGGCCTGAATGCCAAGCGTCACGTCTGGAGGAAATGTGTCACCATCCCTACGGTGAAGCATGGTGGTGGCAGCATCATGCTGTGGGGATGTTTTTCAGGGGCAGGAACTGGGAGACTAGTCAGAATTGAGGGAAAGATGAATGGAGCAAAATACAGAGATCCTTGATGAAAACCTGCTCCAGAGCGCTCAGGACCTCAGACTGGGGCAAAGGTTCACCTTCCAACAGGACAACGACCCTAAGCACACAGCCAAGACAACGCAGGAGTGGCTTCGGGACAAGTCTCTGAATGTCCTTGAGTGGCCCAGCCAGAGCCCGGACTTGAACCCGATCGAACATCTCTGGAGAGAACTGAAAATAGCTGTGCAGCAACGCTCCCCATCCAACCTGACATCCAAACTCCCCAAATACAGGTGTGCCAAGCTTGTAGCGTCATACCCAAGAAGACTCGAGGCTGTAATCTCTGCCAAAGGTGCTTCAACAAAGTACTGAGTAAAGGGTCTGAATACTTATGTAAATGTATTTCGGTTTTTTATTTTTAATACATTTGCTAACATTTCTAAAAACCTGTTTTTGCTTTGTCATTATGGGGTATTGTGTGTAGATTTGAGGGGAAAAAAATAAGGCTGTAATGTAACTAAATGTGGAATAAGTCAAGGGGTCTGAATACTTTCCGAATGCACTGATCCCTGGGTTTGTCACAGGGATCAGTGTTTGTTGATTGCAAGTTCCACTATTAGTGCTATTCCCCCTCAACATCAGATGCTGCCTACATCACTGACATTAACTACGTTCACATTTGCAAATTATATTTTGACTGGTGTGAGGTTGTAGAACAATAGTTACTCTGTGACTGGTTCAACGCCAACTGAAAATATTTTAAAATGTTAGTGCAGAGCTATTGAGCAGCTCATTGTTGTAACAAGAGACACTCACCGCTGACTCAATTATTTGCAATGATGTTGAACAATGAATCCCTCGCAGACCCACCCAAGACATTGAAAGAAACCATCAATACGGTGGTTAGATTTTCTAAGGCTAGCTTGAAGCTACACTTGGACAATGCAATATGCTTATGACAGATTTTATTTCAGGGCCAGGGGTCCCTCCCAGCCAGGTTAGCTCACAAGTAACCTAGTCAAAGTTCGCAAGGCGCCCACGTTCAGAGACTAAAATGAACCTATTTTACAGTAGCTGGTCTAACACCCGGCAGTAGTAGGCCTGGCTACAGTGTTTACATGTTATATGTTAGTTTCTATTGTAGCCTGGGGCCTTATATTCTGTAAAGAGGTGTTGAGAAACCTGTTACCATGTTCTTCAGCTTCAGAGAGTCAATGAATGGTGTTGCTGACACAAAACATATTTTGATGTCAGATGCATTGGGTGCAAACTTTTCCAAGGAAAGGCCTATATCACAACAAACTAGTCATTTG